CTCCTCTGTCTTACAGCTCGTACCTAGTGGAGAGAGCGTCGGAGTAAGGGGAGGGATACCATTGCCGTTCACGCGACCAACAAGCTCCTCGCCAACACACACGGGAAAAGGGATGACGGTGGAATTGAGGTTGGGATTAGTGGTCAAATTTCCGCTCAAGTTAGGCGTGTTCAGGAACGCCTCGATGAATGCTTCGGGTGTGCAAATGCAGCGGGTCGGATCGCATTTCTTCGTGCCTGATCGGGATGGAAGGTCCGAGAGAGATCAGTGTGGCACATAGGGTAAAGGTGTGTATCGTCAATAGTCAGAGCGTACCAGGATACTTGGGCCTGCGTGCGTTGGGAAGGCCTCCCGTAATGTTGTTAAACTTGGCCGTGCCGACAGTGGCGGCCGCTAGAAGAAGAAAGAAGCTCTGTAGACGCATTTTCTAGTTTCGTCGAAGACTTAGGGCACCTGAAAATGGAAGGGATCAACTTGATATAAGTTCTCGGCTATTGATTGCTTCTTAATGATAACCTCGCAATTCAAGTTGTGGTCAAGATTTGTTGGCTATGCAAAGTATTGATGTGTCCTTGAATTGGTTAGGTGTTTGGAGGTAAAAGATGACTTGCAAATCAGGTAAGGCGTCTTAACGGCAGAGATCTCCTTCGGGTGCGCTAACGGCCATACGAGCAATAAGCGTTGATTAAAAGTGCGCTTCTAGCCGCGCTGTATCATTGGGCTCGCGTCCAACCAACGGGTTGAGAAATATTTTCCTCTTCAGAGGAAATGTGGATATCATTCGAGGTTTAATCAAAATCTGGGAGCAACATATGTTCCACAATTTAGGATGTGGCGCCCCTACGGCGCAGATTTTTACGGTTTAGAAAATGGCCACCTGAGCGACGAGCGTTGAAGAGAAAGTACGCTTTAATCCATGGGCCTTGGTGAGGTGCCCAGGCAAGAGTTCCAATCATAAGAATCATATATTTTTCCATCATATTTCGGATTTCTTATATAAGAAAACGTTTTCTGGGCCTATTTATTGTTGTTTCGGAAATCAGAGTATGGCGTCATAACGGCGCAGATGCTCACGGCGTGCCCACGCCCCTGGGAACGGCCATCAGAGCGATGGGCGTTGTATAGAGAGCCGCGCTTCCGCGAGGTAACAAATGGAAAACGCTGAGTGGGACTGATTATATGACAGCAAGAGTCCAATTTAAATACACACAAGATGTGTGTATGGAAAGATGCGTTTGTCGCATGCTGTTGACGGCAGGGGAATTTAAAGCAATCAAATGATGACATTTCACACGTATGGGTTTTCTCGTTTTCAGAATCTTACCTTGTGGGTCGATTTCGAGGTTTAAAGCCTAATTATTTCGATTTCAAAAAATCATGATAAATTTGGTGTTGAAAATATTCTGGAAATATTTTTATTTCCTAGCTCTTGCCTCCCCTCTCTTTTTCATTTATTTACTCACTTTCTGCTAGCCGAACCCCGAAATACTCCAAGTCGTCCTTCCTGCTGTTCCGATTTCCCTTCAAAGTTCCTTTCTTGTTAATTTTCATAAGATTTGTTTGCGCGTAAAGACGATGATTCGATAAGCGTCATGTACTGGATAAGGGTTGGGGCACTAAGATAAGTCGAACATATGGAGAAGATGACTTCAGTGCCCTTTTGGTCCTTTTCTATGACTGAAAGGAGAATTAGTACTCAAAGGATGAGTATAAAAAAGCAGACACTCCCATTATGACCACTTATAATGGCCAAAATTCTTTGAAGGACTGGAACCAAATAAGTAGCCCAGCGGGAAGACGGAAGTGGACTTCCGGAGGGAAAAATTGTAAGATCGCCGATAATTAGCTTTTGACAAGTAGAAAATGTTATCCATTAGGTGCATACTGTAGTCCAAGGACAGGGGAAATACGATAGCCTTATGATCGCAGACCTATAAATCTGTCAGGGCCGTTTGTCCATCCAATATGTACATCGTAGAGTTAGGAGGGAAAGTAGGCCGGAAAGGATGGGGATGAGGATAATCTTTATTGGACCGTTCTAGTACAAAAAGTGGAGACATTATCTAATCCTCTTGTATCTGTGTATCTCATACGATGATCTATTTGCGGAAAAGTAAAAAAATGTTTTGGCAAGGTTAAAGAGGAAAAAGCATGCCCCTTCACAGTAGTAGCAGTCCTCACGGGCACGTTCATTTTAGGGAAAGTTTAAACGTCTACGAGTATTCTATCAACATCTTGGCATTGATACATAGATCAATAAAAACTGAGATTATAGATTTCATGGGGATAAAGTGCGAATGGATAACTTTTCGCTGCAATCTATTCCCGCACGGATAGCTTCGACGCACATCTTTGTGTGTTCTCATGTCACCTTCGCAAGAAATAAGATGCTTTTAAAAGAGCTTGTAGTGTATGACAAACATGGTCTTACTTCTTTACCGTGAAGCCGACTATCCTGAAGCTAAGTTTAGCGAAACAATGCCAAGCTTAGGAAATCAGATTCATGCGCAAATACAAAAAAAATCAAGCACGGCACAGACAAAAACAGCAAATATATAAAGAATTCTAAGGGAGTCCTCAGAAGGAACATAAAGACACACACTCAGTCCTCGAAATGAAGGATTTTCGCAACATAAAAAGGCGCGTGTGACCGAGACACACGGTAAGTCAGTACCTTATAAGATAGTACCTTAGGAATATAACATTTATATCTAGACAGTACCGTAGAGGTACAGCTTACAAGAAACAAAGAAGACTTCAGTCGTAAGAGAGAACCACGGCCATCGGTCACAATACGCATCCAAGCTAGCCAGTGAGACGTGCACAAACGAGTGCACTCTTCCACCGGCATTTCTAGCAAGTGGCAAGGTATGCTTCTTGTAGAATCTAATTAAAACCAGCCATGTAAGGCACGAAAGCATTCTCGACGGAGAATGCCTGGACCTCTGCTGGATCGGACGACATGGAGCAGTTCAGTCCGACGCTGGCCCATGTTGCCTTGGCTGTGAAGAGTTATACATCCGGTGTGAGGTGTCACATCAAGAGAGTTGCGATCGTATGCCTTCCGATGTCGTTGTACTATGGACACAAGACTACTACTAGACACTCACCGTATAGCTGATTATTGATCCACCACTCGGGGATCTGCGGCAACGCATAGTCATTCGCAGTCCACTGTACAGTCAAGAGGAATGGAACAATACAAGTGAACACATGCCCGCGATAGATTCCCATGACAGCGCTCCAGCGATATAGCTCCTCCTCTATGCGTCGCCGTACTTACCCCATAGCCGGCATAGTAGCCATTGAAAGACTGCGTGATGAAAAAGTATGCCCGCAACTGCTGAGCGATGTCCGGCGACGTAGGATCAAGCTGCTGGAGCAGAATGTCCGCTGGCACATCACGACACGAGACATGACAACGTATGCACATGATAAAAACCGGATGTGAGAGAGGTAGGCCTATACCAAGCCGTGCGAGTGCACGTTTGCCAACCATTATGCACAGAGCACTGACCTTCACAGTAGTTGGTCTTGCGGCCCTTGCGGCCCTCAGAGTAGTAGAGATACTTGGAGGCGTACTCGTTCATTTGCGCAATGGAGGGCTTGTAGCAGGGAGTAGTGGCAAACTCGACCACAGCGTTCGCGAATACGTCGGAGCAGCCTTATAATGTGGGGGATTCGATCACAAGTTATGATAACAGACGTGCACGACATACGCACTTTGTGTGCGTGACATTTTTCGCATCAATGTATGTCGTCCTGGCTTACCTGCGGCTGTCAGGTTCGCAAAAGTCCTATCGAAAGGAAAGTAAAGCTTTGCGACGTCGTCGGGGCGGCAGCCAGTCAACGTCTCGAATCGCGTCCTGCGTGTGCAATATCATGAGTATCTCGTGCCATGGTCATCGCTACGTTGCTGTCGATACTTACGTTTTGAGGATGTTCATGGCAGGCTGTAGTAAGGAGACAGTAGGAAGTGTCAGAATGAGTTTTTCTGGCTTCCCACTGTCCCGGTCTATCTTCCATTGACTTTTTCCTTGCTCACCTCGAAACGGCTCAAGTCTTTCCTGAAGACACGCTCAAGCCAGACCAGTGCGTTATCCCAGATGGCAGACATCCTCACTTCGTATGAAATCACATGTAATCACGTACAGAGGATGGAAGAATAGTCAGTCGATACGTTTCGCCATCCCGGTAGTATATGTTTGTGTATCATGCGAATAAACGACAATACCAAGACTTACGCTTTCTGTTGCACTTGTTGGGAATCTTGCTGTAGGGATCGTCTGTTGGTGCATGCAAAAGGTTATTATACACTCTCTCGCTGCGTGTGTAGCGACTGTCCGGTAGTATACTTACTGGGATTCTTACGCCGGCACGCCCCTCCGACATTGGGCTCTTTGATCTGCAAGACGACCAGTTGTTGCTTTGCCGGATCAGGATTGCAGGAGAACGTGTCGATCGCGCCGTATCTGGGGAAAAGGAGGTATGAGTACGATGGAACTTGAACATTGTGGTTTCCACATGTCCGACTCGTACCCGATCAAAGACAGAATCTGCTTCGCACGATACTGCCCCAGGGCCAGGATCTTTTCCAGTCCAATGTTGTCGAATACAAAAGTCATGTGCTTTTGCCGATCTATTGTTTGTTGCGTAGGTGGTATGTGTTTGTGGTAAGGATAGGAAACTGACCACACTTGGAAGGAGTATAAATCATCTCCTCTGTCTTACAGCTCGTACCTAGTGGAGAGAGCGTCGGAGTAAGGGGAGGGATACCATTGCCGTTCACGCGACCAACAAGCTCCTCGCCAACACACACGGGAAAAGGGATGACGGTGGAATTGAGGTTGGGATTAGTGGTCAAATTTCCGCTCAAGTTAGGCGTGTTCAGGAACGCCTCGATGAATGCTTCGGGTGTGCAAATGCAGCGGGTCGGATCGCATTTCTTCGTGCCTGATCGGGATGGAAGGTCCGAGAGAGATCAGTGTGGCACATAGGGTAAAGGTGTGTATCGTCAATAGTCAGAGCGTACCAGGATACTTGGGCCTGCGTGCGTTGGGAAGGCCTCCCGTAATGTTGTTGAACTTGGCCGTGCCGACAGTGGCGGCCGCTAGAAGAAGAAAGACACTGCAGTAACGCATAACTCTGGTCAAATCGTAGTATTGACCTTGAAGCCTGTACATTTAAATTGTAATCAAGTTAATTTGTGACGAGGGGATCTTTATGCCCCTACTGGTGGAATCACTAGATCTTTCCACGAGGTCCTCATAGCTATGAAATGTTAAGGATCAGGTAGACATGTCTCTCACTAAGCGCATTGAATTTAGACAGCACTTTGCCAAAAGAAGGTGTGCTTGACATGAGAAAGATCGATGGAGTTTTAAAGTCATTTCCGTGAACCATATTTGAGTAGACGGTAGTAAGCTGTGTAAGCTAACGGCCATCGCCCAGTCTCTCGGGAGAACTTAACATTTGGTGTATTTTCTTTCGCACTTTTATTCGGCGAGCAGTGAAAAGATTCAATCAATGCTTGGTAATCTAGCTGATGGGACATTTGAAGAATTTCTAGTTCCCATACTGTCTTTCACATGGTCGCTGCGCTCTCTGGGAATGTTTTAAGATTTTAATTTCAAAGTTAACGGCTATGGCGATACCTCGATACTGCGTCATCCCTTGTACCACATTCGAAATTACGGCAAAAAGGTGCAGCTAACGGTTGAGTGAGAGGGTTCTCGGGAGAATTACATTTTAGTGTCGTCTCTTTACGCTTTTATTCGGCCAGCTCTAAGATGATCGTATACATGCGTAATACCAGACAGATTGGACATTAAAAGAAGCGTATAATGTTCCCACGACATGCAATCAAGTGGTCGCGGTATTGTTGGCAACAGTCTTCTCAAAAGATTCTTCTCAAAAGATTCTTTGAGAAGTCATTATCATTCTTTTTGATGACCCAGGACGTGAAAAAGGAGTAGTTCTTCAGCTCTCGATTTCAGTGTTTGTCATCTGGTCAAGGGGAAAAAACCTAAGGGAGTACTAGGTGCAACTATATGTGGTAGCTAGTTGCTTCCTCTTTGCTGCACTTGATCGACAAGCTTTTTGCATGGAACTGGTTCATGCCTGTTCGCTTTTTATTTCTCTGCTATTCCCAGCGTGATGCGCCCTTTGGATGCTGGGAAACAATGGCGTCTGAGTGCAGGCGTTCGCATGTCTGTTTAAATGCCTGATAATATGAGAATGCACTACATCTTGCACCAGAGAGCTTGGGGACCCAAAAAATCAAAAAAGAAGGTAAAGCAGGAAAAAGGAGACGTGCATTGATCCTTGCTTTGACTGATTGCAAAATTGGGTGCGATTTAGACCTTCCACAATGCACGCATCGTTCTCTACAATGCACTCCACTAGTCTCCCTTGCGGCTCTGGGCTTCTTTCATTTTGCATCATCACCACTACCTATTTTGTTGGTGTTGCCGCTACTGCTACCACCATTCTTACTGCAATTGCTGCCGTCTCGCCCCCTCTCCTCGCTCGCACTTCTCCCTCTCTTTCTCGATCTTTCCCCCTTCCGGTTCCTGGTCTGCTCCTCCCACCAGTCAAACAGCTCGTCCACCTCTTTCCCCCCCTTCGTTTTGGATGCACCCAATCCCAAACGACTTTTGGGCGCAAGACTGCCCTCAGCACTGACGGGTTCGGCAATGCCGCTCCTAGGAGAAGAAAAAGATGGGGAACAGGACAAGAAGGAGAGAGGATGAGAAGAGGGAAAAAACAATGTTTAACGACGATTAAGAGCAACGACCTCTCCCAAGTCAGGCGTTGTAGAGAGGAAAGAATCCAACAAGAGAAGAAAGAGGAGGAGGAAGGAGACAGGGCGGGATGGAGGGAGGGAAGGAGGGGACGAGGGAATACCCATCAAGGCCCAGGCCCCGCCCGCTCTGCCACCCCATTTTAGCCAGCATCGACATGCCTGCAGATGGAAGATAGTTATGAACAAAACGCTTGGCTCACCACCCTCACTCTTTCCTCTTCCTCCCTCCCGCCTTCCACGGCCCCCTGTCTTTTCTTTTTCCCTGAATGCAAGGACTTTCCAACCGCTTCGTGCTGGCCGGCCCCTTTATGT